ATTTTGACTAAATTGGTAATGCAGACTGTCAAGTGTCTGCTTACTTAGATGATTGAGATGAGCATTCAATCTATATATATCATGATTACATAACTGAGCAACGGTTAACTAGAACTAGTTGTTGTTGAATTTACCTCCATATAGAAGTTATTGATCCAAGGTTCTATGTTAAAAAGATCTTATGGCAAAACAGTAACAGAACAGAAGTTTGAGCTTGTTGACTGGGTTTGGCTACAATACATGTTGGCAGCATACAAGCAAGTCAGTTTGACTGAACTAGTTTATATATTGTGTGTAAACAGATCAACGATATGAACTGTGAGCTACAGCAGTTGTGTGGTGTTCATTAGCTTGTCAAACATAATGAGAAGAACTGGTTACATTAAGAGTGAGAGGTTGACTCTGACGACAAGAGAAGTGTTGTAAGACCTCTAATCAGTTGATGAGAATGGAAGAGAGAGCAATATCTGACTGTCCAAGAGGAGTTTGTTGAGCAAAATCCAGTACAGTAGTCTGTTTTCTCTGATGTGTGGCTTTTAACTGCTTCATCAGAAGTTGAGATAGTCAAATAATTGAAAGAAAATCAGTGAGAAAAAATAGCATTCTATATCTTCTAAACTGTCAAAATCCAGTACAGTAGTCTGTTTCCTCTGATGTGTGGCTTTTAACTGCTTCATCAGAAGTTAAGATAGTCAAATAATTGAAAGAAAATCAGTGAGAAAAAATAGCATTCTATATCTTCTAAACTGTCAAACGGAGTTTTGCAGTAAGATGATCATGATAAATTACATGATAACTGCTCAATTATTCCACAGTTAGGGGAATTGGTTTGTTGATAGGTCAATAGCTGAATGGGAATTGCAATCCTTACTTACTGAGCTGTTGAGCTATATTTGGTAGTGAGACATTGTTCTGATGTCTTTCAATAGTTGCTCAATCTATCGAGTGATCTTATACAGCATTTCTGACAAGCAAATACACAACTTAAACAGGCAAAATTTTCATATTCTAAATGTGATAACTTCTTACAAATCAACATGTTGAAAGGATTTTGTATGACTTCTCTTTCCTAGCAATGAGGTATTGTGGTGGAATTTAGTGGCTGTATCTCTACATTTTGCGAATAAACTTGCAATTTTACATATTAGTCGATATGACCTTCTGTTGCATCATTATGTAAGATTTAACCTGATTGTCTGGTAGTTCTTTGTCGGTGTTTTTGAAGCACATTAAGGGAATTCTGCTCTAACACAATATGATTATACAAGATTGAACTTGATGGCCTGGTAGGTTTTTATCAGTGTTTCTGAAGCACAGCAAAGGAATTCTGCTTTAACAAAACATAGGAAATTGACATAGACTGTCAATGTCAAAACAAATGGTTTTTGTCTGTGCTATTTCCCATTTTCATCTGAAGCAGTTGGCTTTTACAGAAGTGTGACAGTAAAAGTAACATTTTCCCGTCATCCCTTGTTTGCCTACTGTTTTTTACCATATATATTGTAGTTTACTATGTGGAATGTGAGAGAATCTGGAGAAAGATAGGATGGGTTATTTGTATCTTATCAAAAACACCTTAGATGTGAAAAAATGGTGTGGCCAAAAAAGTATCGAGTGTGCGACTTAAAGGAATGAAATCAAAATTTGCTGCCAAACTAGTAGCTACACTTATAGCATTGATGATAATATTACAGCAAATATTCATTCATTAGTTAGCCAGGCTGTATTAATTGTTCAACTTGGGGCATGATGGTGGGTAGTCCTTTTTGATTAAATATCATGACTTTTATAGTAACACCATGGAAACTAGATTAAAGTTTCTTGTCATCACCCGTGTGCACTTGGTACAGCCGTATCAAGCATCATTACTTATGCTAATTGTTTATGCTAATATCATGCGATGCTAAATGCTCTTTAATTAGGAAAATTTCATAAAATTTAGCAAATTCGGTGCTTAAAAGTTGGCAATGAATAATCAATAATAACCGTCCACTCGTATTATTCTTTTGAAAACTTGAGCTAGAAACTGCTAATCTAGTTTGCTTGGCCTAACCAATATTTATGTATCTGCATGTCCTTTCATCCTATAGTTTTGCTGCTGTAAATCAGCCATCTTTAATCTGAATGACAAAAAACTAAAAATAGTCCACCTTTACTCTTCGGTGAAGCTGTAGTAAAAAGTTTACTGATAGCTCATGTGACTTTTTGAGTAGGCGTGTGTATGAATTGAGCAGTTTTTGTTGAATAACTTTGCACATGTGGCTCATATTTAGGTTGTAAAAATCAATCAGATTACAAAATTTGAAAAATATCCATGGAAGTTATGTATATTTTTTCTATCAAATAACGTTTCCATACTTTTGATGAAAAAAAATAAAGAAATTCAATCAAAATTGGACATTTATATCTCATCTGTTTCTTAATGGGTTGCCTTGAAATTTGGTATGTGAAGTAAGGGTCCAGTAGAATACATCCACTGAAAATATGTGATAGTTTAGTTTACCACAGAAATTGAAAAATTGCTAAACTATCACTCCTTCTAACTCTTTCAGCACGGGCTCAGTCCCTGGGACCGACCGTATAACCATTTTGTGCTTGTTATGGTTTTCGTGTTATAACTTTTAAATTAATAAGCGAATGTTAATGAAATTT